GGCGGTGTGACCATCGCACAGGGTGGCGTTCTGCCTAACATTCAGGCCGTTCTTCTGCCCAAGAAGACGGAGAAGCCCAAAGCTTAACGTGCTGCTGCTCAGCCCCAGCCCATCGTCCACCCCCAAACACCTTCATCATCAACAACAATAACAAAGACAACAGTGAACGTGACGACGGCCCTCTTTAGGGCCACAAACACTTGATTGTTGCATTTGCCAGTGGGTGTTTTGTCACGCGCTGGTGTGTCGCTTTCCTGGTGAGGTGTTGGTGTTGGCGTTGGTGGTTCAGCAGTTAGTAGGATGAGGCGAGTAAAAGGAAGTGAGGGGAGGTGGTGGAGGAAGTCAGGTGTGCATGAACTCATGTAAGGTAGATGTCTGAGAGGTTGGGTGTTCATGACGATGCAACGATGACGAAGAAGAAGGATAAGAAGACGCATTTAGGAGCGGTGGGAAAGTGCACGGAGCAAGCGCAAGGGCAGTGTAATACTCATGACAAGTCTGGATTCACGAGGAAGTAAGTCCACAGTCTGTGTTGGGTCCCGTGCTCCGCCGTCGCCGCCTCCGCATTCTTCTCGTCTTTCTTGTTGTTGCGCTTGTGGTGGAGGGCGACAATTGGCTGAAATGTCGACATACTCGCAGTAGAGGAGACACTAGGAGTTGGCCCGATCTGCTTCACGATCAACGTCGTGGTCGCCACCGCAGCTGTCGCTGTCGTAGCTGCAGTCATTTATGCCAGAACACTAGGTCGGGTGGTTGGATTGTGGTCGCTACTAGAGCTTACCTTGACATGATGCTGCACCTCTCAATTCATTATGGTGTGATCATCAACACACCACATCGACGCACTCCGTTCTCTCCTTCGCGAATGCAGTCAGATTGGGCACCGTTGACTAGATGCAATGAGTGCAGCTGGGGCTAAATTGGTTGGTTGGGTGTGTGGATGGCGGGACAGCAGCATACGTGTGCTACACAACTACCATACAGACTGTGGCCTGGTCTGGACAATGTAGGTGCATGGTGAAGTGCTTTATGTAGTCGACTGCAGACGATGCGTAGCGCCTCAAATTGGATGCGTGACTTGGAATTGACGGGAACAATTA